CCAAAAAATCTACTGGTCCTGTCTCAACATGACACAATGGTGCTTAAAGTTTAGACTCGATCTATCGCTGATTTCAAAAGTCCTACAAACGTAAATTACTTTGTTCATCCCCAAAATAACACCAGACCACAAGGCCACATTAAGCGACATCATCCACTGAAAATGCAATCTTGTGCATGCAATATATTGAGGTATGTATCGCATATATGAATAATTATTACAATAAATTGCAATGCGATAGTCAGGCCAATACACATCACAAACAACATTAATTAACTTTATAATTGAGAATGCTATTCAAGGAATAAGACTTTTCTTCATCAGTACCTGCCCGGAAAATGGTAATGTATAGAAAAACTCATGTATTTTTACTTGCTGAATGAATACCTTTGAATATTGAGAGAGAGAGAGAGAGAGAGAGAGAGAGAGAGAGAGAGAGAGAGAGAGGTGGTGGTGGTGGTAAAAGCAGCATAAAACCATACTCACTCATAAAGGTATTAGCTAATCATTGAAGACTATTCAAAATGTTGCTAATAGATTTTGGATAAGAAGACTCCAACAGTGCTTAATTTTTACCCTACACTATCCTTGCTGTAGGCTATTCCACTGATTCTGTTTGTAATGAATAGTCTACACTGGAATCAGCTTCTGGGCAAGTCTAGATTGCTTTGTTCCTGATTCTACAAGCAAGTCTCCTCCTTGAATCAAATCAACCGTGAGTGTGAATAATACTGAATATCCAGCCAGGATTCAAAAGTAGGGTTCGTTTTTATCTCGTAAATATTTGGCAAAAAAATCAGCCGAGAAAGTGCGATCAGGTTTGAGAGTATGTGCTTGCATTTTAATGATGGTTAAACATAGAAGACTGGGTTCTTTCAAGAGCTGTGTAGCAAGTTACAAAATTGCATTTCACAGCTTGTTGGTCAGTCAATGTTCCACGCTGTCTTTCCTTTGTAGGGAGTGTGCCCAATTATTTGTTAGCATCATTTTATATTAATTGTTTGAAAGCCCCAGTCAAGTCCATCAGATGAAAAGCGGATGATCTCAAACACTTAACTTTGAACGTTTTTTTTATCGGAACTATACATTTTATAAAACCTATTGAAGTGTCTTAATTGGAAGCCTGTTGATTTGGATTTTCTTTTGAGCCCAGCAGATGAACAGAAGTGTTAAGCCTTGAAATCAATGGCAATGAATTGATGCTTTTCCTCAGTCTTCATCCTAATCTTGAGTCAGGCATGATTGGTCGATGTAAAATGTCCTGTTTCTTTATGCCTGATATAGGGAGCGGTTACCGTATAATCTCTTCGAGAAAATGGGGAATATGTCAATGTGAGATTCTTCAAATATGGTTGGGGGGCACAGGTGGCCCAGTCATCTAAGGCGCCACGATTCGCTGTGCAGAATTTGCATCCCTTGGGCTCGCCAGGAACCTATGATTGTGGGTTCGAATTCCGGTTCGCCCCGATTATGTTTCTAGGTTTGTCAGCACCATACCCATGCTCGTGGGTTTCACCGAAGTGGTAAACGTCTGAGACCTGCATCACTTTGGGCTTTCCTCCCACATTAAGCTGACACGCCATGATATAACTGGAATACTGTTAAAAGCAGCGTTAAATCCAACTCACTCACTCACTCACTCACTGGAGCTGGAATATTGCTGAGTGCGGCGTTAAACAAACATTGGTTGTATTGTGCAAAAAGTGTCTGTTTGAATCATTAAATTAAATGATTTTGATCAATATTGTCGGTTACATAATCCAAAAAACTATTATGTCTGTTTTAGCAGGAAATACACTCCAGTTCAGGGTGTCAATCTTCAATTTTCTTAAATCTATCATTGAAATCCCCATCTATAATAGACCCGTGAAGATTCCGGGGTAGAATAGGTCTTCAGCAACCCATGCATAAAAGGCGACTATGCTTGTCGTAAAAGGCAACTAACGGGATCGGGTGGTCAGGCTCGCTGTCTTGGATTGTCTGGTCCAGACTCGATTATTTACAGACAGCCGTCATATAGCTGGAATATTGCTGAGTGCGGCGTTAATCAACAAAGCAAACCCATCTATAATAGGCTATAGACTTCTGAGAGTGATCTGTGAGATTCTTCCAATCAAGTGAAGCGGGCCAAGTCACGAGCCTGGGACCTCAATGTTCATGGCATGGACCCAACCTTTTTATAACAGTCCACAGAAGTGGAAAATATAAAGATCCTGGTAAATCCCTGGCATAATGTCATTGGAAGATACCTCCAATATGGATGTGGCTGAGGCATGTGATATTAGCATGATTAGTTCTTCAACAGGATAATTGGTTTCAGGGAAGATGACTCATTTTCTTTCATTTGAATCATGACATGTAGACAAACCGTTAAAAATGTGTTTTATCGGCCGGAAGGATACACACAACCTAACATTTTTGACATTTCTAGCCCACCTGTCCTTATATAACTTAAAGCAAAAACCTTAAAAATGACAAGTTTCTTCTAGTCCTTATGAAACCTTAACTATTGGGCAGTTTGGAAAGGACCATAGAACTGGTGCCAGTTTCTAATGGTGCAGTGGATTATGAAGTTGTTGGTTTTGACTGTCTATTGGGAAGGATGGCTTGAAGCAACTATTGGCGTTGATGTCTGGACTATAGTTTTCATGTCAACAAGCACCTGATGCACGTTTTATCAAGTTCGTTAAATCAAGCCCTGTTTACGAGTGTTAATGTATGGAGCTTACTAGTCCAAAAGAAATTTGACTAGACACAGGCTACGGACTAGTGGCTAAAGTCACAGACTGATTCAGTCCAACTTACTCCACCACATATTTCTCAAGTAGCAAAACACACTTTTAGGGGCTCTTTTTTCAAAATGTCACTGGGCACACATTGAGCTATATGAAACATGCACCAGTGCAATGTATCATTGAAAACCGCAACCTCATATCTATGTCAACATGCACCAAGTGCATATACCGTATTCGACGTAATAAGCGCCCGGCTCTAATAAGCGCCCACGGCGATATTGGCTGATATATTGGCTAGTGAACAATCCCAATTAGCACCCCTTCCGATTGATCAATGTACACAAGTCTTATTTATTCGTGTTTAATACGCACTCGTGTGTTATATGCATCCTTAATTATGGGCAATTAAATTCTGGAAAATATATCTGTTGTGTATGATACGCACATACCCTTTTTTGTATCATTTCAGGCTGTCAGCATAAACCACGACGTTTACGATCTTTCAACTCTGTTTTTTCTCTCACCAAAATTATATTCTAATAAGAGCCCCCTATTTCTAATTTTGAGAGCACCCCGGGCGCTTATTACGTCGAATACAGTAAATTTTGTCTGCCTTACTTTTCCAAAAAACGATCTTGGAACACATTCAATACTACATCAGTAATCTCTGTACTATGTGTAATCTTTCCTACTTTCGTGGGTTTGACATCGTGAAACTGTGGGTACTTCAAGATTACACATGTACCTATTACGTTTTACAGCTATACATAATTAATTTATGACACTGGCAGCTAACCAGCCTATGTTTCAACTTTGATAAATTTATGGGACCAGGGTGCAACTGGGTGTTCATGTCAAGAATAGAAGCACCTTGTGCAAGTTACCGAATTCGACGTAATAAGCGCCCCGCTCTCATATCCCTTCACTGCATAGTCTGTGTTAAACACGTTTGAGTCGAATACAGTGATAGGCATGGTTCAAAATTAACTTGAGCCCGCCAGGCCAAGACTGGTGTAATTTCCTTGTAGACTCTCACATTTACAATTAGGTAGGTGAAAATAAAGATTACCATATTCAACATAATAAGTGCCCCGCTCTAATAAGCACTCATGGCGATATTTGCTAATATATTGGCTAGTGAACAATCCCAATTAGCACCCCTTTCCGATTGATCAATGTACACAAGACTTTTTTATTCGTGTAGAATACGCACTCGTGTGTTATATGCACCCTTAATTATGGGCAATTAATTCTGGAAAAATATATCTGTCGTCTATAAACATTTCAGATGTCAGCGTAAACCACAGATTTTTCAACTCTGTTTTTTTCACCAAATAATATTCTTATAAGAGACCCCTATTTCTAATTTTAAGAGTTCCCTGGGCACTTATTACGTCAAATATGGTAAGTCAAGTTCCTTTAATCAAATCGTGTTACCACTGATTTCTAGCTATTCAGTACCTTTTTACTGATGGTACGGTAACATCATCTGATGATTGCATTGATTCTGTATTGTACACACTATGTGTTGAACCAAATGACACTTATAGGAAAGCTTGATGAAATATTCACTAAAACAGGCGTATGTGAATGTCTATAGCTTCAGTATTCTGTTGGGCTTGTTGACGAGGAGGTGTAGATGCCACCATCTTCCTTGTGGGTGTTGAATACATTGCAGGGCATGCATCATGTATTAGACGATTCTTTTTTATCATTGATACAAAAGGTTGAAGTGTTGATAAAAATGTTTTAATGCATGTGCATGATGTGTTGGCTGTGTGTGGGCGTAAGCCCTTTTGAAATTTCATGTCGTGAATGAAGAGGGTTTCAACAATCTTGTGATATTTGCTCGACTCTCTTTTGTATGCTTATAATATAATATATTCCCTTAAAGGAAAATTTGAAAGGAGGCGAATTATTATTCAACAATTTTATATAATTCGTTGGAAATGTCTTATTTGCACATGTGACTAGAGTGTTTAACAGTGTTTAAGAAATTGAATAACTGGTTATTGTATTACCGTATTGGACGTAATAAGTGCCCGCTCTTATAAGCGCCCACGCCGATATTTGCTAATATATTGGCTAGTGAACAATCTTAATTAGCACCCCTTCCAATTGATCATTGTACACAAGACTTATTTATTCATGTATAATACGCACTCGTGTGTTATATGCATCCTTAATCTTTGGCAATTAAATTCTGGAAAATTATATCTGTCGTATTTAAACATTTCAGGCTGTCAGCAAAAAACACGAAATTTATGATCCTTCAACTCTGTTGTTTTTTTCTAATAAGAGCCCTATTTTTGAGAGCGCCCTGGGCGCTTATTATGTTGAGTACGGTATGTAGAATTTGCTTTGTCAAGTATGGGAAGTAACTGTCTGCATATATGCTGAATCATCAAAATCAGTGACACACCGAACAAGTATGAGTGTAAGTATTTGTTTATGCATGTAGGTGATATATTTAAGTCTGACGAGTCCAGATAGGTCAAGTTTCATACATCAGGTCCAATGTCAGGACTGAATAACAGTCCTACTTTGATCATGACTTGACTATGCTTTATAGTCAACAGTCAGAAACTTCAAGCCTCGGGCTTGTCACAAGATTGTGTTATTACTCAGGCTGGCAATTGGTTTTTGAGGCTAAAATAATCATTAGAGGTCATCATGCGCCTAATACGGTGACCTGATCCGCGACAAAGACGATGAAGATTTCGACAGTGTGACGGATCACTTTGTGTGATCACCGGTTGAATCACTGTCTTACTCATTAGGGAACCCGATTCTACCAGGCCAGGCTTAATTCATTGCTGAGTAAGCTGGCTGCTTGACCACTGGTCAAACGAGGACTTCCTGTATGGGGATGGACCTACCTTGAACGACATGATGGATGTGAAGTGCTTGTGTCTGTATTTCAGGAGAAAAGGTAGTTTCTGGATGTTGGTTGTGGGTGTGTTAGCCTTGTTGGTTGTGTGCTGAGGTGGAAAAAATATGGGATTTGGATATTTTTTTAATCTCGACAAGCATTGTGTACATCGTCATCTCAGAGAAAAATCAGGTTTCAATTTGAGTGGTAAGTTTTATTTATTATTTTTCAGTTTTGAAATGTTTTGTTTTTAATAATGGGATACAAGACATTTATATATATATATATACATTTAAATGAAGACAGTTATATTTAGATACAGCCAGCTGTGACAAAGTATAGCTGGTATTAATTAAGAGGAGTTGATGGACATGACAGTTATTATAGGAAAGTGGGTACAGTTATCCCTTGTACATAGACCCGTGAAGATCCGGGGTAGAATAGGTCTTCAGCAACCCATTCTTGCTGTAAAAGGCGACTATGCTTGTCGTAAGAGGCGACTCAAGGGATCGGGTGGTCAGGCTCGCTGACTTGGTTGATGCATGTCATCGAATCCCAAATGCATGGATCGATGCTCATGATGTTAAACAACAAACCAAACCCAAACCCTTGTATATAACATTATCATGTACCCTTGTATTACACTATATTTCTTGTCATAAGGGGGTACAGTGTTTGAGTGAGTATGGTTTTTTCGCCGCTTTTAGCAATATTCCAGCAATATCACGGCGGGGGACACCAGGAATGGGCTTCACACATTGTACCCATGCCGGGAATCGAACCCGGGTCTTCGGCGTGACGAGCGAAACAATGTTTGAAGATAAGAATGAAAGCCAAGGGTCTTGAGATGTAAGAGGTCCTATAATGATTGTCAAGGATCCCAGATGCTCCTGGCTTTGAATACTGGTTATTTTCATGACCAAGTTCCATTGATTTCCGAGTCCTGAAGATTAAGTAGTGAACAGTTGTAGGGAAAGAATGATGGTTGAGAATGTTGTACCCTGATAAGGAAATAACCACGTACACAGTCACCATTAGTCCCGTGGAATATATTTATTTTATGAAAATAACACAATCTAGATATGTATACAGAAGCAAGTCTAGCCAGCTCTAGCTGGCTCTATCCCACAGTCATTTTGGAGACAGAACTGGTTGAAACAGCGACCAGTATTTAAGTCTGAAAATGTTTAGTCTATGAAATCAGCAGAGGGAAAATTATTTGTTTTATCGAGTCGAGAGAAGGGTATTGTGTAATATCAGATTTTAGAGATGACATGTTAGTCTAGTCACCTGTTTAAGATGGGAATTTATCACTTGTTGGTATGAGGATGTGTTGTAGCTGGTAAAACCAGTGATTGGGTTGATGATGTTGGATATATCCTGCTGTAGATAATGTATGGAGTGTGGATGTGTCAAAGTTGAGATTATTGTTTTCAACGTGTTGGGAACAGTGTATCAGGGCTGGTAAGATTTATTACTGGTGTTGTCAGATCGATCCTGATTCTCAGTCGAAGAGTGGTTTTATCGATGAGGGAGTGAGTGAGTATGGTTTTACACCGCTTTAACCACTAGGCTGCTCGACCGAACTCTTTTCTCAATTGATGAGACATGTTGTGAATATACTCTACCTCATATATAGTGATACCTCTATTGAAGGCGTCATGTTCATCAGGGATAATTGTCAAGGATTCCAAACTAATGCCCATGGTAGGCAAATTGGGAAAAAATGAGTTTGTGCAAAATTGTTATTTTTTAGGTTATTTCATAAATTCAAATGTATTAAAACATTGTGTTGAATACAATAATTCCTTCAACTGTTTTTTGGTCCAGTTATTAGTGAAATACAAGTCACCTCCACTGAGCCATAACATTAATTAGTTTAACTATGATAACAGGAACTTTAAAAAAAAAAATTATTCCGGCTTGGGAATTTTTACTGACATTTGCAGCAGACTTGGGGCTAAATATCGACCTTTGAACAGGTCAAGCTGAACGGGGCACAGTTGACCCAGTCATCTAAGGGTGCCGCAATTCGCTGTGCAGAGTTACGTCCCTTGGGCACACCAGAAACCTATGATTGTTCAGGTTTGTGGGATAGCCTGTGATGTCCACTTGTCCGTTGTCCCAAGACTAGTGAAAATCCAGTAGGACTAGTGTTTTTCCCCCAAATGAAGTCATTTTACATAAACTACCAGTATGCAATGAGCTTTGTCACTCACAGGGTTAGAAATAACCAAGTTCATAAAAATCTTATGTGCACTAGTGCAAATATCACTTCCCGCTCACCAGTGTATTGTTTCACTCATCTGGGACGGCTTTGTTGACGTCATTTTAATCTCGTTGTAATGTGAGGATGGCATGATGTCACACTAGAAACAGCGTTATGGCTGAAGATTGTTCACGTCATTCCATAAATTGCTGACCTCAAGTTCAAAATGATTAAGAAATAATGAGTAATAACAAAAATTACACTCACATGTGTGTCATACTGATTTCATGAACCTTGCTCTCACTCGGGGAAAATTAAAAATTCTTACACAAGTTTCGTAAAAACCAGTATGACACACATGCTCGTAAAATTATCTCTGTACAGACTGGCTAGGTTTGACCAGTGGTATCTATGCCTGTATACACCGATCTTTAGAAGGTATTATTGGTATGAATTTACAGTAGACAAGTTATTCAACTGAATAAACACTGCATTAATAATTTGTCACAGATGTGAAACAAAATATTTTTATGACTCCCAACTGTGCTGTCAGATGTTAGATCGTATACATGTTCAATCAGATGACTAAATAGTTCCACATCAACAGGAAGTCTCATGTCCTTGTATCAGTTCTTGACTTTTTTGTTAATGTTTCTATTATTACCATCACCATATTTGATGTAATAAGCGCCCAGAGCACTCTTTAAATTAGAAGAAAATTTTGTGAAAAAAAAAAGTTGAAAGATTGTAAATTTTGTGGTTTATGCTGACAGCCTGAAATGATATAAAAGAAGAATCTGTGTGTATTATACACGACAGATATATTTTCCAGAATTTAATTGCCCATAATTAAGGGTGCATATAACACACGACTGCGTATCATACATGAATAAATAAGTCTTGTGTACATTGATCAATCGGAAGGGGTGCTAATTGGGATTGTTCACTAGCCAATATATCAGCAAATATCGCCATGCGCTTATTAGAGCGGGGTGCTTATTTCGTCGAATACGGCATGTTATTTCTGGCACATCTGAAAAAACATTCATGAAGCATGATCGTTTATTGCTTGAGGAAATTCCACATCAGGAAGTAGGAACAAGTGATCTGATTGATAAAAAGATTCCCTCAGGCAGTAATTTTGCTTGAGGGAAAATAGCATTAGGACATATTCATTATATCTTTGACTTTTGATAGGACATTCTTCTATATATGTCAATCACTGGATTGTCTGGTCCAGACTCGATTATTTACAGACCGCCGTCAAAAAGCTGGAATATTGCTGAGTGCAGCATAAAACAACAAACAAACAAACAAAACAAACTATGTAGCATTATCATATTAGAAAGAAATGAAATCACCTGAAACTGTGCAATATTAGCTGAATTATTTTATAACTTAGGTACTATTGGTTAGGGCTAGCCTAAATTATTGATAATCTGAATTATTGTCGATTGGAAGAAATACTGACATTTATTGATATGAAATCGATTATTAATAACTTGCATAAACTATTGTGATGAAATAAAATTTTATGAATAATATCCACTGCCAAAGATGGAAAGCAACTGTTTTTGTTGTATCTCAAATGTCCACAAAGTAATCCCTGCTTAAAATGTGTCACAACCCACCAGTGGAGTGAAATATCTTGATTTCTTGCAGATTTGCTCAAAGACACTTCTCGGAGATTTCTCGATAATTGATCAATGATTAGTTAACAATTATTCATCTCTATGAAAATCCGGGTAAGAATTGGTCTTCAGCCATCCATGCTTGTTGTATTAAAGAGGCGACTATGATTGTCGTAAGATGCGACGAAGGAGATCGGGTGGTCAGGCTCGCTGACTTGGTCGATGCATGTCATCGTATCCCTGACATGTGGATTGATGTTTATGATATCAATCACTGGATTGTCTCTACCAGATTCAGTTATTTACAGACCGCCGTCATACAGTTGGAATATTGCTGAATGTGGTGTTAAACAACAAAGAAAGAAAGAAAGAAATAATATTGCTTGATCTGAGGACCCTGATGCTGAATCCGAAGGCACTTTTACTTGTTCAGTTGTTGGGAAGGGATTTTTGCTTCAGGCCATCTGAATGGGATACATTCAGTCAAGGAAATTGTTTAATCATGTCCATCACAATATTCAGCGATTTCAAGACTCCTGGGAACGTGATGTTAGAACAATGAAGTGCATCAGTGTGGATGGAGCATGAGTCAATGTAGGGCAAAGTCTTGGCCAGGGATTTCATTGTGTCGGGGACATGCTGGCTCAGGTGTAAAGGTCAAGCAGGGGTAGGGAATGACTCTTCATAATTGCTACATCAAATGTCCAGATGACTGGACATGGTCAGCGATGAGTAAGAAGTAGGCTGGCTTAATACCAGCTGCTTGGTAATGATCTGTAGGTATAAAACATTTGTCGCAGTTGATGGACTGGTATATAGATTTTCCTTGACGGAGGCTTCAGACTTGTGACTAAAGTTGACTCTTCAATAGTCCATATTCCAGTCTGCAAGATCGTCTGTGATTCCAGCTTACGCCCTCTCCCAAAATGGCCTCCATTCTGTAACAGACAGCTTTTCTTTGGAATGACTCAACGAACGATGAGTTTGAAAGTAACCATTTTGTCCTTTAGCATTTCCTTTGTCACATGATCATTGAATGGAGTGGAAAATTCATGTTGTAAATGAGTGTGTGTGTGTGTGTGTGTGCCACGATCTGATTGGTTGAAAAGTGTTTTTGGATGATTTTTTTTATATGCATTGTTTATCTTCATTCCAAAATTTGAAAAAACATGTCTGCCAGCATGGAGAATATTTAATGTTCTAAGTTGCAGTTGCATATTAGTTGACTCACATTGACCTTGACCTTGACCTTGACCTTTCAGATGAGGATCCCTCTCGTGGATGCTTCAAGATGGCCGAAGAAGTAACCGTGACAGCAAAGTATGACTATCACGCTGAAAACAGTCAAGAACTGGACATAAAGAAAAACGAGAAACTGACTCTTTTAGATGACAGCAAGGATTGGTGGAAAGTCCAGAACAGCTCTAACAAGTCTGGATTTGTGCCATCAAACTACGTCCGACGTATAAAACCCAAAGCATCAATATTTTCAAGTCTGAAAAGTCTTGGCCGGAAAAAAAGTGATGCTGCAAAGAACTCGGCTTGTCCGTCACCGGCGACGCTGCGTAATGGTGATGCCAGGAGCAACGGTCCGCTTCATCCAAGTGGGAGTTCGACCAGTAGTCAACCTTGCCACGAAGCAACTCCTGCCACTGCCAAATATCACTACACGTCCCAACGAGAAGACGAAATCTCTCTTGTGAAAGGGGAACATTTAATTGTGCTAGAAAAGTCCAATGACGGCTGGTGGAAGGGCCAGAAGAACGACAATTCCGTGGGCTGGTTCCCGTCGAATTACGTGTTGGTGGATTCCGAGGTGGACTACTGCACTGCCGCCACGGCCGAGTCCATGATGAATGACTGTATAGAGGTGGTGACCACCCTCTATCCCTTCACGGGGAAAAACAAGGAAGAGATGAGCTTTGACAAAGGCCAGAGACTTGAAATAATCGACAAACCATCGGAGGATCCCGAGTGGTGGTTTGCTCGGAACAGTAGAGGCGACATGGGGCTGATTCCACGGAATTATGTGCAAAGTGTGGAAGAGTGTGACGGTGACCGGGGCACGAGCATGAGCTCCTGCACCCCCCAGTCCCAGTCCACGAGTAGTTTGTCTAACGCTTCGTCGCTGGGGATCACGGGTGGGCGGAGGCAGTTCCATGTCTCGGGGCCTCTTCAGGAGAAGGATTGGTACTTTGGGAAAATTAGCAGGCCTCAGTGTGAGGAACTTTTATCCAAATATGCCGAGGACGGTGACTTTCTTATTAGGGACAGTGAATCTGCCGTAAGTATAGGGAGGGGTGATTGTGTGGTTGTGTCGGATCCAGGATAGGGTCCCATGGTGGATTTTATTGATCTGTGTGGGGGATTCCATCAGGATATTCAAGGACCCCTTTGCAATCCTGTGTTCATGAGCTCTGTTATGGATCCTGTATGTTCATGGATTTCATTTGGATCAGGTTTTTCACAGAACATTTAAGTTCCAGAGGAATTCATGGATGATATGCGATCCAGATGTGTTCATGGATCATATAGGATCCAGTGAAGTTCGTGGATGATATAAGATCCAGAAGAATATTCATGGATCAGTTAAATTAAGAGCTGTTAACCCACAAGGATCCATTGGTGTTCATGGATCATATGGGTCCCAGAGGTATTCATGGATCATTTGGGTCCCTGAGGTATTCATGGATCATATAGGATCCAGAGGTATTCATGGATCATATGGGTCCCAGAGGTATTCATGGATCATATAGTATCAAAAGGTATTCATGGATTGTATGGGGTCGAGAGGTATTCATGGTTCATATAGGATCCAGAGGTATTCATGGATCATATGGAGTCCAGAGGTATTCATGGATTGTATGGGGTCCAGAGGTATTCATGGATTGTATGGGATCCAGAGGTATTCATGGATCATATAGGGTCCAGAGGTATTCATGGATTGTATAGGATCGTTTTGTACCAGGTAGTTTTGCACCAGATCGTTTTGTACCAGATCGTTTTGCACCAGATCGTTTTGTACCAGATCGTTTTGCACCAGATCGTTTTGTACCAGATCGTTTTGTACCAGGTTGTTTTGTACCGGGTCGTTCTGTACCAGGTCGTTTTGTACCCAGTGCTCCCCCTTGCATGAGGATCGTTTTGCACCAGGTCGTTTTGTACTGGGTCGTTTTGCACCGGGTCGTTTTGTACCGGGTCGTTTTGTACCAGGTCGTTTTGTACCCAGTGCTCCCCCTTGCATGAGGATCGTTTTGTACCAGATCGTTTTGCACCGGGTCGTTTTGTACAAGGTCGTTTTGTACCCAGTGCTCCCCCTTGCATGAGGATCTCATTCACAGCAGATAATCAACAAGCAGGCCGTGAATGAAGCGAGTACAGGACAAGGGGAGGTAACAACATCCCGGTGTAGCAGTTCCCCAGCACAACACGGAATTCTGCCTAAACCAGCCCAACCCAGCAGTGTTCATCACCAGTATACACAGATAGACATCAAACTGTGTCATCTATTCCTGACTCTTGAGTCATATCCACGCGCCCCCCATACTCATCATAATACAAGTAGTTTCAGTGTGTGGATGAACTCAGGCCTGTCTGGGGCAATGTTGCAGTGTTTGAACTAGGTCCAAAGTATTTCGGAGGAAAAATGATAGGAGTAAATCATTGTTCAGGTTGAGTGAACTGAATCAGAAATTTTTCTATCAGCTGCAAATAATTGTTTTGAAGAAAGATAACATATTTTATGGAAGATATTACCAGAGCTCCAGATAACATTTTTAGCAATTGAGTTTTTTACTGTTGGGTTTCTATTTTAATTGAGTTGTTAGATTTTTCATTGGGTAACCAAAATTTTTTCACTCATCTATTCATCACTCTATTGGGCTTCCCCCAAATTAGTGAAATATGAAATACTGTTTTAGATGTATATAACTGTTCTAAATATATAGACTTTACTCAGAAAGTAAATTAGCTCATAATTGTGTTTCGGAAATCAGCTCCTTTGTACACAAGCTGAAAAAGCTTCATTGGGTGTTTATGCACGCTGTTTTTATACATTTGAGTTTTTCATTTAATGCATGCGTTTCTGTACGCAAGTTAATTTGAAATAATTGGGTTTTAAATATTTTGGGGGGTATTTTACTCAAATACGCAGCTTATCTGTAGGTCTGTATTCAAGTATTTTATTGTGTAGAGTGTACATACTTTTTAATTTAAAACAAAATACATCTGTGTAGAGAGGGGTGCACATAATACACCAGACAAACAATGAGTTTAATTTTATTTTTCTAAAGGAAAGACATTACCTTGAGAATGTAACACCAGAAATACCATGTCACCAAACGGAAGATAACCCGTCTACCAGAAACCTTGAAACGTAAATTCTCCCTACCTAACACACAGGGACGGTTCACCACCCCTTATATTTGCGACTTAAAAAGTAGTTTTGTGTTTGCAAAATCTTAAAAACTATAAGCAAAAGTATTCAAAAATATTTAGGGTCACGAAAATTCTTTATCATACATTTAGATATGATTATATACAAAATCAACTTCAACAAAAAAAATTCTTGAAAACCAGGAGACCGCTGTTGGAAGCGAAAGAATACATGCTGGTCAAGTAACAAAAATGGCGTTTAGCGAAACAAACAGTCTCGATATATGAGTTAATGAGAAATTTACAATTTATAAGGAAACATTTTCGAGAGAATAACAAACAGCAATTGATATTATTTTGCCTTGTCAATATGGACCTAACGTAAAAAGAATGTCAACCGTTTGTGTATGGGCTAGTCACTTAAGACATAGGGAGACCATTTAAGGGGAGGTAACTCTTGTATGACAAGTTCTGTCAAAGTGTTATGTTCACTGTATTGAAATATCAAGTGTTATGTTCACTGCAATGAAAATATCACTTTTCTCAACTTTGGAAAACTCAAGTCTTTCACACTGAAGTATATAATAAAAACATATTTTTCTATTGAGATGTTTTACAACTGTGTATGCCTGGCTGATGTGTCTCCTCTAGATCGCAGTGTACATGGGGCATATGAATTAGCATTGACTTTGAAGGTTTCAACAGGGTGTCACATTATGACCTCCTCTAGATCGCAGTGTACATGGGGCAGATGAATTAGCATTGACTGCAGGTTTCAACAGGGTGTCACATTATGACCTCCTCTAGATCACAGTGTACATGGGGCACATGAATTAGCATTGACTCTGAAGGTTTCAATAGGGTGTCACATTATGACCTCCTTTAGATCACAGTGTACATGGGGCACATGAATTAGCATTGACTTTGAAGGTTTCAACAGGGTGTCACATTATGACCTCCTTTAGATCACAGTGTACATGGGGCACATGAATTAGCATTGACTTTGAAGGTTTCAACAGGGTGTCACATTATGACCTCCTCTAGATCACAGTGTACATGGGGCATTTGAATTAGCATTGACTTTGAAGGTTTCAACAGGGTGTCACATTATGGTCTCCTCTGTAGGTGGGGTTGTGTTATCGATGGCGATATACGGTATATGTCTTTGTGCACATAGGGTGTGTGGGTTAAAGGGTTCACTTGTCATGCCGAAGACTGTTCCCAACTTGAGTACAATGAAGTACAATGTGTGGACCTGTGAAGATCTGGGTAGGGAATAGCAACCCATGCTTGCCTTAAAAGGAGACTATGCTTGTTGTAAGAGGCAGCTGGGATTGGGTGGTCAGACTCGCTGACTTGGTTGATGCAGGTCATCTTATCCCAATTGCGTGGATCGATGCTCATGATGTCAATCACTGGATTATTTACAGACCGACGTCATATAGCTGGAATATTGCTGAGTGCGGTGTCCAACAAACAAACAAACAATGTGTGAAGCCCATTTCTTTTGTGCCCGGGCCATGATATTGCTAACAACATACTCACTCACTCGCTGTATTATATGTTTCAAATTACTTTTTTCATATATCATGTATATATCCTTTTGTACACATATCCTTTTGTACTTAGGGGGGCACGGGTGGCCCAGTTGTCTAAGGTGCTGCGATTTCGCTGTTCCTTGGGCTAGCCAGAAACCTATGATTGTGGGTTCGAATCCCGGTTTGCCCCGATTATGTTTCTAGGTTTGTCAGCACCATACCTGTGCTCATGGGTTTCACCGAAGTGGTAAACGTCTGAGACCTGCATCACTTTGGTCTTTCCTCCCACATTTAGCTGACACGCCGTGATATAACTGGAATGCTGTTATAAGCGGCGTTAAACCCAACTCGCTCGCTCACTCACGCACTCGCTCGCTCACTCATGCACTCACTCGCTCACTCACTCACCCACTCACTTTTGTACATAAATCGTTTTGAACATTTGTCATTTGTTATGTTTCAGGCCGGCCAGTACACAGTAGTGTTGAAGGCACCAAATAGAAACAAACATTTTCGTGTGCATGTTAAAGATGGCGAGTACCAAATAGGCCAACAGACTTTCACGTCACTGGAACAGTTGATAGATCATTACAAGAGACATCCAATTTACAAACAGGAGTCGGAAAAACTCTACCTTGTCAAATCTTTTGTAATGCAGGCCGACTTCTGACAACTAGATGCACTGGTGTGATTTCTTAATCTGGTCATCGTGGTCAGCCGCGGTCATCCCGCGGTAAGCGGACGAACAGTTGCTACATTGGGAGTACAGAACCGAACTGCTCAGCCTGAGGATCAACTCGGAATAGAAGAGAAGAAATGTACTTGCTTATTGATTTTTGAAGTGTTTTTTTAAATGGAAAAAAGGATGTATGTTCCACCTACTTAAGACGTGTAAGACACAGAATCTCGATTTGAAACGACTGTTGTCATGTATTTAACCAGCTTCATTGTTATTACCAATAGAAAAGTTTGATTGACTTGTATCACAACAGCTTTTACCATGGAAGAGCAGTAGCATTGGTTTAGAGTTTTCTCTCAGTATATTTTGTGAAAATGATAAGTGATATTACGTGTTATAAAAATGAGGTCCAAAAATTGTAGTGATATTTTAGAAGCGTTACAGTTTGATATTTTTACTATTAATGATGTTAAAAGCTGGTGATGATTGCTGCGATCTTTGCATCTTGAGCTCACCGATATATTAGTCGTAAAGTCTTCACTTTTGAGCAAACGTGAGTCTGTCAATCCATGACAACAGCTTCACTACTCAGTAACTGAAACAAATATGCAAGCTGTCCGATGTTAGCATTTTGGGGGTCACATTCAAATACCATAGAAGATCTCAAGGCCCATGGCCCCTGTTCATATTGAACAATGAAATGTGTTGCTGGGGAATCTCGAACCAACCATGTTTAGATGTTGTTGAACTCTACTGCTCTTTCATGGGACAGACCCTTCGTATATATGGTAAGGCGATCCCAATATTGAGGCAGAGTTGATGCTGCCTCCTGTAGAATCTGTATTAAGTGACCAGTCAAAATATATCAATCATCATCATCATGATCATCATCGTCATTAGCAATGCTGTTTCTCACGCATGCTGTGTGGCTGTTGGTTTTATGCTGCATGAACTCAACCATGAAGCATGGCTGTTGGTTTTATGCTGCATGAACTCAACAATGAAGCATGGCTGTTGGTTTTATGCTGCATGAACTCAACCATGCTGTGTGGCTGTTGGTTTTATGCTGCATGAACTCAACAATGAAGCATGGCTGTTGGTTTTATGCTGCATGAACTCAACCATGCTGTGTGGCTGTTGGTTTTATGCTGCATAAACTCAACCATACTGTGTGGCTGTTGGTTTTATGCTGCATGAACTCAACCATGAAGTATGGCTGTTGGTTTTATACTGCATGAACTCAACCATGAAGCATGGCTGTTGGTTTTATGCTGCATGAACTGAACCATGAAGCATGGCTGTTGGTTTTATGCTGCATGAACTCAACAATGAAGCATGGCTGTTGGTTTTATGCTGCATGAACTCAACCATGAAGCATGGCTGTTGGTTTTATGCTGCATGAACTCAACCATGAAGTATGGCTGTTGGTTTTATGCTGCATGAACTCAACCATGAAGCATGGCTGTTGGTTTTATGCTGCATGAACTCAACCATGAAGCATGGCTGTTGGTTTTATGCTGCATGAACTCAACCATGAAGCATGGCTGTTGGTTTTATGCTGCATGAACTCAACCATGAAGCATGGCTGTTGGTTTTATGCTGCATGAACTCAACCATGAAGCATGGCTGTTGGTTTTATGCTGCATGAACTCAACCGTGAAGCATAGCTGTTGGTTTTATACCGCATGAACTCAACCATGCTGTGTGGCTGTTGGTTTAATGTCGCATGAACTGACTATTCATTGAGCCCTAGTCTTTTGCACATGTATGTTATATAGATTTGAAATGTACTCCTATCATCTACATAAGTATCAAAACCTTTTGTTGAGATTCTTAATGAGGGCATGAGAAGACTGTAATATATAAATTATTGATTGTGAACTGACTGACATAAATTGTATGTTTCCCTCCCCTGTTATAGATATGTCTTTTGTCTCAAGCGTTGAATCAAATACTATCTGGAATTAAATTTGTGCAGGCAGAATAAAGGTGTTTCCATGTCACAGTGCCAGTCTCACACTTTGGTAAATTGTGTTCCAGGTGCTGTCATATGTACCTATGATTGTGGGTTCGAATCCCGGTTCGCCCCGATTATGTTTCTAGGTTTGTCAGCACCATACCCATGCTCGTGGGTTTCAACGAAGTGGTTAAACGTCTAAGACCTGCATCACTTCGGGCTTTCCTCCCACATTAAGCTGACACGCCGTGATATGACTGGAATACTGTTAAAAGTGGCGTTTAACCCAACTCACTCACTGTCATTTGTAAAAGCATTGAATGTATTAAGCATGTTTGATGGGCCTTTGGAGCATATGGCTTTGACTTTGAATAAAACAGGAAGCAGGAAAATGGACAATAGTTATTGACATGATACACAGTGAAACCTTGTTTGTGTGGACACTGTTAATCCCAGACTTTCGACAGAGATGCCAACCCTGATTGAAGCTTACGAGTAATCAGTGGGGTAAAGAAACGATTTCCTGTGAAAAAGAGTAATGTTGACAGTCCCCACAGCGATAGAAACTAACATCTTTAGTCTGCTAGTCCTTTTAATGATAACATAGAGCAAAACTCTTAAAAATGGCAATTTTCTACTAGTCCTTATGATACCTTAACTTTTGGGCAGTTTGGCAAGCACTACAGGACAAGTGCCAATTTCTAAAGCTGACCTTTAGTTCTTTGTCTGCACGAATATAGATTAATCGATAACATGACTTGATCGAAAACATGTCTTGATCGAAAACATGTCTTGAGTGTCTTTTAAAATAACAACCATTCATAGACCTTGTACCATCATAGAATTGAAAGCATGGCTCCCATTGGTCAGCATAGCCTCCCTGTAGAACGCTTTTTATCACATTATATAATACAGTAACAATTTGCTCCCTGTGATAATTTATGCATGTGGTAAAAAATACGTGAAAAAATGACATTAATCTCAATTTGGGGGAGGACAAGCATAATAGCATAATGTTAGGCTAAAAAATCGTCTCCATAGGCCAAAATCGTACTGGTTCGCATCTCTGGTTTTTGGAAAGACTACAGAAATGACATGAGCTCAGTCCAGAATAAAGAGGTTTCACTGTACACAGGATAATGAGTTGTTTCTCTTCGCAAGGAATACAGATCAGATAGGGGAAACTAAGAAATAAAACATTTCTCTTTGCGTCAATAAAACATTTCTCTTTGCATCAATAAAACATTTCTCTTTGCATCAATAAAACATTTCTCTTTGCATCAATAAAACATTTCTCTTTGCATCAATAAAACATTTCTCTTTACATAAAGTATATGGGTTATATTGTTTTAGGGAGCTTAAGTATTCTGGTTGCCACTGTAAGACAAATATATTTGAAGATTGAAAGATGTTGTGCTAAAGATTTGAGACTTGTAATTAGGCAATTGTCTTTACGGTTTGTTTCCAGTATAACCATATTTTGATTCAAGTTCATGACAGTGTTCATTGATCAAGTAAATGTTTAAGCACACTGGATTGTTGATAATTTGTAAGAGTTACTGAATCTTATTAAGCAAACAATTTTATAGGAAACTTTGTTGGTGTTGGAAAAGCAAACAGCCAGATGCCGTATATATTATTGGTACAATTATGAGTTAGGCTAACAGTTTTGAACTTCACATTTGTACCTTGATAGTGGCGTCACATGTCCTACTAATTTAACTTCTCAAGTCAAAGAAAAATTAAAAATAGGGTAAATTTGCTCAATGAACAAAACTTCATTCAAGTATTTCAACCCCAATTAATGTCCGAACTGTCTCAGCAGAAATATTGACAATATAACACACAAGGTGTAGCTTTAGAAATGAGCGTAACATACTGAATAACAAATGTCTCCAGCTGAAAACTGTCATTAATAATCTGAATTGTATTTTTCTTTGTTTTAGTATTTTCATACACTTTTGTCATCAGGCCATACTTTTTTCTTTTTTATTCCCGGGCCTACTGAAAAGCAGCCAGTGTAAGAAATAAATTAAATATAAAAATATTTATTTTTATTGTGTGTCCCACTTGTATTATAAACCCTCTTATACAGTACAAAATGTTAAATATAAAATCGTGTCATCACGATCAGTCATTTAAGAAGTCAGCTGCAGTTTAAACTCCATGGCAGACATATAAATAAATAAATAAATGATTGACATTTAATTTTAATTTAATTTCGACTGACCTTGTGTGGAAAAGTTGGAATAAAACCGTGAAAAATAAAATTAAGAAAGTGTGGCTTATGAGAAAATGAAAGGGAATGGATTAGAATAACTCTGAATTTGCCTGCACTCTGTATGCTGGGTCAATCAGATGTAACATGTATCCTATTCATTTGGCCTAAAAAACATTTCACAATTCATCCGCTGCAAAAAGTAATAATTGCACATCATAGACGTCTGGCGGGTGTAACGTCAACCTCACTCACGGAATGAGATCCAGTTTCCAACATAACAAGACCATGTCCTCACAGACTGTAGTATTTGAAGTAATTTATTCTGATACTGTGAAACCTTGTTAGTCTGGATACTGTTAAACTGGAAACCCCACCTTCCAGACTGCTGGTAGTACTTATGTGACATACCTTGCTTAATCTGGACACTTGTTTATCTGGAACATTGCCGTAGGAACACTACCATCTGGTTGTTGATGTTGGAGATTTATCTAGCGCTTTTGTGGGCCAGATTTCACAGTTGAATAGGGGCGGTGGGGTAGCCTAGTGGTTAAAGTGCCACTTGTCAAACCAACCAAAAAACCCGTTTCACATCACCTTTATGTGTGGAGAAGAGGTATGAGTTATCTCCCCTGAGGGGGTACACCGATGACAGGTCAGTCCATCTAAACCTGACAATGCCCGAGTACCCAAGTACCCGAGTACCCATCTGAGCCCTAGTTTCTGGCCCGCGGTGATATTGCTGGAATATTGCTAAAAGCGGCGTAAAACCATACTCACTCACTCACTAGTTTCTGGCTAACTTTGATATTACCGGACCCTAAACAGAAAAAGTCCAGCAAAAACAGGGATGCATTTGCAATATTTACAGCCCTTGTAACCCTTTAGCTTAAAACCATATTCAAATTTGTTTCCTTGGTACTAATTCTAAATTTGAAACACAAAAACACCTACAATTGTGAAAGTACGAGGTAGGCAAAGGGCCAATGGGGAATGTCAAAATTTCAATTTGCAAAAAAACTTGATATTGTTATCAAAATTATGAGACGTCAAAATAAGGGACAAGCTTCTTTCCTGCCTACACTTGCAAGGTTTGGACTTCTGACGCACTTCAAGACACAAATATGGCTAAAATAAGTGAAAAGGGTTGATTTTATTAACTTCAAATGAAAATTTAAGTACGAAAAGACTGTCCCAACATGATTTTTTTAACCTGTGTTTGTTATGTTTTTATGAACATCTGTGAAAGTCACCTTCAGTCAAACAATTATCAGGATCAAACCAATCTCATTAACATCAGTTATTAGTTCTCGCTACCGGTAAATAAAGATAAGAAAAAGGCTTTAAAAAACCTGCAATCAGTCATATTTACCCATTTCGTTCTTACGCAGTCATTTAGTGTTGTCATAAGTCCCAAACGGGCAGTTGTTGAGCTGACCAGTCATTCTCAATCTCATGAAAACCTGATAACTTTCATAACAATTTTTGAAAATTTGCTCAATTTATAAATTATGCTTTCTTCTCCTTTAAAGGGGCATGGGTGGCCCAGTCAACTAAGGCGCTGCAATTCCCTGTGCAGAGTTGTGTCCCTTGGGCACGCCAGAAACATATTATTGTGGGTTCGAATCCTGCCATTATGTTTCTAGGTTTGTCAGCACCATACCCGTGCTCGTGGGTTTCACCGAAGTGGTAAACGTCTGAGACCTGCATTACTTCGGGCTTTCCTCCCACATTAAGCTGACAGGTCGTGATATAACTGGAATACTGTTAAAAGCGGCGTAAACCCCAACTCACTCACACTTCTGCTCTAATGTGCCCTTATCCTACCTCGTCCTTTCTCCTATGTTTTAAGAACATGTAAGTATATATTTCCAAACACCATATATCATTACACAATACAAACTTTACCCTGATGCTGCGAATGAGGAAATGTTTTATTAATATTTCATCATTGAAATCCAAAGAATAGTAACAGCCAAGCTATTTGATTGTCTTTCATGTCCCCCCTTCAGCATTAGAAGGAATCACGTTTATGCCAGTCAGTTCCCTCTGTGAAATGTATCAGCTGAACTGACGTCTATAGCTGTCAATGGTGCTTCGTCCCCCACTGCCTTGCTAGCTCCAGGTTGCTTCTTGATGTTCATTTCAATCCAATCCATGTACATTTCACTTTGTTGATAGTCTACCCATATGACCAAAATGTCTCCTATGAACGTTGCAAGGTTTGCGTGTGACATATATTTGATGAACTTTGATGCAAAAGAATTAAACTATATTAGCATTCAGCATTTAATGTTTCCATTATCAACTATTAGAATGAATTTCATATTTTCAAGCAGATATTGGTGGATGGAAATGTAGGCAAGTGGTTAAAGCATGCACTTGTCACACCACGATTTCGTTCAATTCCAATGTAGGTACAGACAGGGGTAGCCTTGTGGTTAAAGCGTTTACTTGACACACAAGGCCTGTGTTCGATTTCTCACATTGATACAATATGTGAAGCCCATTTCTGGTGTCCCCGCTGTGATATTGCTGGAATATTGTCAAACGCAGCGTAAAACCATACTCACTCGTATTTGCAGGAATATTGTGTCATAGATCCATACTCCCTTGTTAATATTCTGAACAAATTTGGATTTCGTCCTGTCATGCTTTTCAGATCATATGCAGTTTATTTGGCAATTAAATTTCTCAAATCTATGTCACGGTACCGTTATATGCTATCCTGTTTTCTCTGAGAGAAAGTATTATTTTTGTGTAATGAACGTTATCAAGTAAACAGCATCCACACAATATTTGCATTTGATTACTGTTGATCGTCGTCAATACCTCATGGATTTGTATACACTGCGTTCCCCATCACCTCTAGTGCATACAGTGTCTTTGTGCCGAAGGAGAGACTTGTGTCTATTTGAAGTCAGATAATAAAATGAGGCCGTAACTCACGGAAGTCAAATAATCCTACTTTGTGGGAAGTCGACTATTGACTAACAGGGATTTATCTAGACTTGCTTAAAGGCCGATCTTCGCCCCCAAGTGTGCAGCAAATGGCAGTAACATTTCCACATTTGAATTTACAATTTCTCAATTCCTCAAAATTTACGAAATTTGTTACGCGATTTGTTCCCCATTTGCCAGCCAAGAGCACTTAGTTTGGAATCCGAGATAGAACCCTGCCTTGAAACAGTGTGTAGAGTAGATGGTCGCAAGTCTGTAGCATGTTGCGTGAGAATATTGCCGACGTAATCGGAGTGCTCATTGGTGTGAACACTCACTTGTAGCAACCAGGGCCCCGTTCCACAAAGCGATCTTAGCGCTAAGATGATCGTAACTCCCATTCTTTATTACGACAGTCGTAGCGCTACGATCACTTTGTTGAACGGGGCCGAGGCCTTTATGTGTTAGTTACGACTAGCGGTTACACCTAAAGCTGTCGTATGTCATGGATGATGGAAGAACATAGCGTATTCAAACCTGGGAAATATTGACGATGATCTTCGATTGATACCTTTAATTCCTTACAATACCAGCATTCGAAACTCATTTACACAGTTGTGTATGCAATGTTAGAGTGGAAGATGCCTTGGTCATTTAGGAGTATAATTTGCCTAATATGTATACATACGGAATTGATCTGTTCTCAACCAAAGACTTATTCGAAGTATTACCACAGTAAATGGCTTTGTATAAACTGCACCATCGAAATAGTCTTGCTCAGTTTCCATGGTAACAGTTACTACTGATTTCATGTATTAAAAAAATGTCTTTTTTTTTCTCAGCAATTGAAGTGAAATTTCAATTGAAGTAAATTTAGTTCAGTTAGGTCTCGTTGGAAATTGATATGTTATGATCTAAAGACTAATACCAAATGGCGTCATATTTCAAATGCAATTTATTGATGTATATATCAGTGTTTGTGAAATAGACAACAGCGGTTGTCCTAACATGTCAGTCATAGGTTGTTGACGTAGCATTTGTCGCTGACAATAATTCTTACTGCATAATTATGTGGAGAAATGGAGTTTTCAAAATGTGCCTGAGTTTTTCTTCAGTACAAGTTCTG